CTAATGGATTGGTGATTGGATCTATGTAATCAGGGGCAACAATCTTCGCTCAGCAATTCGGTCAGATGGCTTCAAATGCAGAGCTCTACCGATTTGGTAATCATCTCCTTTGTTTCATGTTTGTGTGTGGATGCGTGTGATCTTGTAGCTTCCAGAATTTTATTCATGTCTCAAAGTAGATCCAAAAGCTTAGTAACCTGAAATGGAAATTTGGTTTTATTCATAGTGGAAGTCTGCTTGTCGGGTTTTGTGTTCATTTTGTTTGAATGGTGTCGATGCAGGACCTGAAGTCGCAGCTGCAGGAGTTGATTCCGGAACAGCAGGTAAGTTTTGAATCCGTTTACACGAAATGAAACTTTTTGATGTTGACATTTTTATATCTACTGAATTGGTATATTATGGTTACATTGGTTGAGATTTTTTCTATATGAAGGCAGGCTACAAAGTGAATCTCTTTTGCTTTCCATTTTTCCTCATAAGATTTCCAATTTCAGGACCGTTTGAAGAAATTGAAGTCAGAACATGGAAAGGTCCAACTTGGAAACATCACTGTTGATATGGTAGAAACATGATGATTCACACGTTTTGTTTGTTTATATTAGCCTTCCCTTGAATAACTTATTTTTCCTCTTTAAATAAAGGTAATTGGTGGGATGAGAGGGATGACTGGTTTGCTCTGGGAAACCTCATTGCTTGACCCAGAAGAGGTATTGATAACTCTTTGTATATAGTTACAATTGCTTGGTTAGATCTTAGATATAGAATATATCGAATGCTCTTCCTTCCAGTTCAAAGGCTGTTGTTGCAATTATTTTATCATTATTTCAGGGAATACGCTTTAGGGGCTTGTCGATTCCTGAGTGCCAGAAAGTATTACCTGCTGCCCATTCTGGAGGAGAACCATTGCCTGAGGGTCTTTTGTGGCTTCTTTTAACTGGAAAGGTATGCCTTTTCTGTACATTTTTTATAAGTTGGTCACGGGGATGTCTAGATGATTAGTGTCCATCAATATAATATCCTTTTTTACTCCTTTTTCGTATAGGTACCGAGCAAAGAGCAAGTTGAAGCACTCTCAAAAGACTTGGCGAACCGTGCTGCTGTGCCAGGTTTGGCTATTCACCTTCTGACTCAGTTTATTGGTTTATCCAAACTTGTTAGTCATTGATATTTCAAGATAGGTATTTAACAGAAATAAACAAATATTACACTTCTACCCATTCTTAACTTCTATTCTATTGTTATGCAGATTATGTGTACAATGCCATCGATGCCCTGCCTTCCACAGCTCATCCAATGACTCAATTTGCTAGCGGTGTTATGGCCCTCCAGGTGTGGATCTCTAAACTCCCATTGTTGTTTGCTTGTTCTTGTTGTGATATCTGTTAAAAATGATGAATTTTCAGCGGAATGATAGTCTTCTTTCCTTAAATTCAGGTGCAAAGTGAGTTCCAGAAGGCATATGAGAGTGGAATTCACAAGTCAAAGTATGCTTTTGGAGTTTCAGTTTAGTCCTTGATAGCATTTCATATTAGCATGCATCATAACAAAGATCTTTCTGTCCAGGTTCTGGGATCCAACATACGAAGATTGCCTAAACCTGATTGCTCGTGTTCCTGTTGTAGCTGCATATGTTTATCAGAGGTTAGTGAAGACTAGACATTTTTGTACTCTATTTCATGTTTCTTGTAGCTTCTGGTTTTTGGCCCCGATTGTGTACCCTTTATAGGATAATCCGCTTTTCTTTTTTTTTTTTTGCTTCATATTTACCTTTCCACGAAATCATTCCAGGATGTATAAGAATGGTGATTCCATTCCCTCGGATAAATCTTTGGATTATGGTGCAAATTTTTCCCACATGTTGGGATTTGATGATGCTAAGATGAAAGAACTCATGAGGCTTTACATCACTATCCACAGGTCTGTACTAATTTTGTCATCCCTACATGCTCCTAACTAAATTTTCTTGTCATTTATGTTGTTATTTTCAAGACTTACAAATATAAGCATGATAATTTATATTTTCTACTGATTGTTGGTTTTAGTGATCACGAAGGTGGAAACGTTAGTGCTCACACTGGTCACCTGGTATGTATGCTCATAGTCTTTCCATGTCAAGTGTGAATTTTTATGGTTTCTCGATGGCGCCACATGCAGTTCTAAAATTTATATTCCTCTGCTTAGGATTGACCTGCTGGACATTTTTGATCGTTCATCTTTTGCTTGTCTATTTAGGTGGGTAGTGCACTTTCAGATCCATATCTGTCATTTGCGGCTGCATTAAACGGTTTAGCTGGGCCACTCCATGGTTTGGCGAATCAGGTATTCTCTCTTGTTTATATCCTCGATAAATCTTATACGGTTTCATGAATTGTCTCTGATACTAGCTAGGAAGTTTGTGATGGTTTTATGGTACAACCATAAGTTAGAGGAACAGAATCTGAGTCTTTTTTGTTTTATTGCAACAGGAAGTTTTGCTTTGGATTAAATCAGTTGTTGAGGAATGTGGAGAAGACATATCGAAAGACCAGTTGAAAGAATACGTCTGGAAAACATTAAACAGTGGCAAGGTAAAAACACAAATACTGAATCACTGATGAAACTTTACTCCAGATGGGTCATGAGAAATTGAGTGAATATCGTGTCTGTTAAGTGTAATAGGTACCGTAGTTTACCAAATAATTAATTGACAAGGCTTGATTCGTCTACAGGTTGTTCCCGGATATGGACATGGTGTTCTTCGCAAAACTGATCCAAGATATGTATGCCAAAGAGAGTTTGCCTTGAAGCATTTACCTGATGACCCTCTTTTCCAGCTGGTAATTTGTTTTCTTTTTCCTTCTGCGCTCTTGTAAAATTCAAGCATTGTGCAGTGGCTCATAAAACCTGTTACTTTATAGGTCTCAAAGCTTTATGAAGTTGTGCCTCCGGTTCTCACCGAACTCGGAAAGGTAATATTTATAATATTTTCTCGTTTACCAGAGTGATCATTTCATGTAATGGATTTCATAGAAAAGTATGACCACATAATCTGCCAATAACTCAATGGATGTCTAAAATATCTCATGAACATCTCACTTTATATGTTTACTGAATCCTGTGATGGCTTGTTACAGGTGAAGAACCCGTGGCCAAACGTTGATGCTCACAGTGGAGTGTTGCTCAATCACTATGGTCTAACCGAAGCAAGGTAAGAAGCAGACTTCTCATATAAAGCGTGCCAGCATATCATTGAGCCTTTTACGCCAGTACTCAAATATAACATTGCCCGTTTTATAGGTACTACACCGTGCTCTTTGGTGTCTCAAGGAGTCTTGGTATCTGCTCTCAGGTATATATATATATATAGGTTATACGCCCTCTGTTGATACACCATTTAGAATATGACTCGTATGCTCTCAGCTTTTCTCATTCGTGGTTTTGTTCGATTCAGCTAATATGGGACCGAGCTCTTGGACTGGCACTTGAGAGGCCAAAGAGTGTTACAATGGACTGGCTTGATGCCTACTGTAAGAAAGCTTCATCTGCTTAAGCAACCACGAGTCCCGAGTCTTCATGTTCCACACTGAATAGCCTTTTACCATTCTATTGACAAAAGAAAACATTGTTCATGTAGAAATTGTTCTTTCGAGATTTTCCTTTTCTTCCCCTGAGAAAAATACTTGCAGTGTGCAAATTTGCATTCCGGAAAAACTCAGTGATAATAAAATAAACAGTGGTATTCAAATTCACATAACTCTTTCCCTCACCAAATATCAATCATGAATTAAAAACTTATGAATTGATGTATATATAAGAGATCATCATCAGATTCAACTGAGAAAGAAACACGAAAGTAAGGTCTGAGTTTATCGATAAATAGAAAATGGGTTTTCGCAAGGAGGATTAGGAGCTCTTCTTGTTCTTGTTCTTGTTGGGAGTAGTATCCTTATCATCAGCAAGAGAAGCTGTGAAGTTAAGTCTCTCCTCGGTGTTAGCAGTGATAACCGGTAACCAAACATCGGCCGTGCCGCTAAGAAGCGACTGAACTTGCGGATCAGAAGCAATAGCTGATGATATCATCTCATCAACATCGTCTAATTTGGCTGATAACTTATCCAATTCCTTAGCTATCTCCACCTGAATTCACACACACACACACATAAAAACCCTCAGATTTACGTTTATCAAACAAAAATGGAGTTTTTAATCAAGATGAGAGAGACACACTTCATTGAGGTGTTGAGAAGACTTCGAAGGCACTTTAGTGACTTCCAAACCAAGAGCTTCGATCTTAGAACGTAGCTCAACCTCTTCTGTATTCGTCAATGATTCCACCTGATTAGAAAATACAAAAATGGATCAACACAACACCAAACCCAATGCAGTAATTCATTCACGAATCAAACGGGGTTTGTATTGTATCTTAATAAGATGGAAAAAAAAGTTTCTTCCTTTAAGATTGGATTTGTGACTCCAATTATACATTTGAACATTGAGAGAAAAAAAAAAACCCAGAAATTGAAATTCGACGAAAATAAACTCGAAATTACAGAAAATTTCCCAGATCATAACGAATTGAGGATCGAATTTAAAACAAAATCAAAAGTGAGTGTGAGATCGAAAAACCTGTTGTAAAAGACCCGAAAGAAGCCGGAATAGCTGCTCGTCCGGTTTACCTTCAGCCATCGGAT